TTTCTTTATCATCCTTTACTCAATGTATTCATTCTTAGGTCGGGTTGGGCTCTGTTTCTGGGTTAAACTCTTCTACTTAAAGCATCTGTGCTTTTCTAGCTGCCAGTGAGCTTATTATATCTGGTATTTTAGTTTTCACTGGCTCTTAGATTACTTCAGCTGTTTTACGTCCATAATCACGAAACTGGTTCTTAATCTGTAGTCACTCCTCCCTTTATATGCCTCAGGATTCTTTTAAACCCTTTGATCAAATTCCTGTTTGTTCATGTTGTTCCTGAGTTTAGAAACTACAATTTATTTGTTTTTGCTCTGGACTTTATATAATATTAGTTTTTCCACATCTTTTTTTTTTGTTGAAGTTCTGTTTATTTTGGGAGACAGTGTCATGGCACATAGCCAGTCCAGGGCTAAGTAGAGGAGATCTGCTCTTATTCATTGATGTAGGCTTTCCTATTGTATGGGCATTCCTACTCCTGCGTAGGTTAGACTTAGGCTTGTCAAATCAAAGAACCAATAATTGTTTGTGCAAACAACACGCTGACAGCGTCGGACCTCCCCCAGGGGTGTGTTTGCTGCTGGCTGAGCCTGCAGCTCTATACCAGTATGTCCTGGGCTTGCAGGACATACTGGTTGGTCTAGGAAACTGACACTAGAAATCTCTATGCTCTCTGGGTGACTTTGCACTGCAACTTCTGTAAAGGGTTTACAACATATACAAGCTAGAGAAGTCAATGAATCTAAACTTGAGTACATTGGAAACATTTGATAGTTCTTCATCTTTTTACTCATAAACATAAAGGGGCCCTGTTAATAGTTCACTCTGGTTGTAAAGGCATTTTGATGAAACCATGGCACCCTGTTGGCTAATTCTATTTCATGTCCTTCATACACTATGTTTTTGCTATACCTTATCTTAAATGTAAGAATTTGTGTATATATATATATATATATATATATATGTACCTAAACATGGACTTACGACAAGAAGTCCTATATTGTGCATGGATGTAATGAGTAAACAAGGTAGGTGAGAGTGGAGGAAAGAGTGAAAAGACACGGAAATGTCCAAGATCGAGTTTTAAAGAGCGCAAAAAAAAAAAATACGATGCTAGGAAGGACGAGCCAGTAGATGCATGGCCAACACATGGCTCTGTTCCGTATAGTGATGGAATTTGGGACCCAGCAGTTTTCACAGGTAGCCAAGACCATCCTTAGAGAAGTGTTAATACATATGCAGGTAATTGTTGGGGAATATTCAAATATGGGCACACCTTTGTAAATGAAGGTGCTATTTTCAAAATCTTTCCTCTTTATCAGCCATTTCTCTAATCCCCTAAACAAATGCAATAGTCCAATTTCTGTCACTTAGAGCAACAACTGTCTTTAGAAATACAATCAAAAACTGTCCTTATAGAAAATTATCAAGTTTATAAAGGCTGCTGTAATAATGTTAAAGTAATTGCTGTGATGGACAACTTAAACATAAGTATTAGTGGTATTTTATGTGGATGGATAAAGACTACCAAAACAGGCAGGGAAGGAGAACAAGAAACCAGTGACAAAATGTATTGATTTCCAATCAGTGTGAGCAGTGACTGAACACACATGGCACAGGTTTGAGTAAGCATCGATGTTAGCCTGGTTTGCAGCAGCCT